GAAATTAGGCCGGAAAAGGAGAGGGGTTAGAATTGAGCCTAGTCCGAGAAAAGGGGAAAGAAGAGAAAAAGGTTCCAACAAGCCAACACAGTGGACTTGGCCTAGTGAATCTTCATGGCCTCATAACCCTAGTTTTTGCTAACTTCCTAGGTAAATCTATCTTGAATTTTTTTAACTCATACCTTTTATTTTATGCTTAATTTAAATTTAATATTTTTGACTCGCTTGAATTTGTTTGGTTAACGTGTAGTTTTAGTATTTATTTCAATAATTAAGTTGGACAATTAATAGGTGGATAAACTATCAAGTCTCTTGATTTTGTTAGACCGATGACGATTCCTCACCAATAAGAAAAAGAAAAAAATGAAGAAAAAAGGGAAAAGGAATGTTAGGGAAAATAAAAAATGCTATGCAAAAAAAAAAAAAAAAGAACAAAAGAGAAAATGCTAGGAAAATAATAAAAAAATAACAAAAGAAAAAATGTTAGGAAAATAATAAAAAAGGAAAAAAAAAGCAAAAATATATATAAAACTTGAAAAAAATTAACAAATTCTCCTATCTAATAGAGATCGTTGTTAGTGAAAAAAAATTACTTTAGTAAATAGGATTTTTTTCGACATATCGGTTATGTCGAGACTTAAAGTGGATCCAATGTCGAACCGATGTGTCCGCCAACGAAGGGGTTCGACGATTGGTTCAATATAATGTCACAAACAAAAATAAAAAACTTAATTTGGCCTAGGAAATTAAAAAAAAAGTTGGATTTTAAATTAGGAATTATTTTTCACAAATAAAACACCTTAAAAGATAAGTTTTAGGACTAAACTAAATGTGGTATCTTTATTAGGAAATGGCATTTTTAGATGATTGATATCTTCCCAAAGCATAACCGAATTTTTATCCTAGAATCTATAAATCGGTGCTATTTTTAGGTTTTTGGTTCCTACAATACTAGGTGGTGACTTTTAAAATTAATAATAATTCACAACCCTAAAATAAATAAAAAAATAATTCAAATAAAACAATTTTAATTTTCGGGAGTCTTGCGAAAATCGGGTAGTGATAGAACTAATAAAATTAAATGTTAGAGTCATATGATGAATTTTAATTACCTATGTTATATGATGTATATGTTGAAAGTATTGAATCAAGTCAAGTTACTGATCGTTAAAAAAAGGTTATGATAAACAATGATTTTAGGCAAATCAAATAAATGTAACTCACCTACATTATGGACATAAATGTTATATGCCTAATGTGAATGATGTGATGTGATGTGATGATCTTAAGTTACATTCATATGTCTACAAATGTTTTACATATTGACTTGTGATGAAATGAAATATTTTAAGTAAATGAATGATGTGTGCCGGTAAATGGCGTTTTATGATAGACAATATTTTGAATGTATGTTGAGATTTTAATGTTAAAGGTAAAAGTTAACCATTGAGGTTAATAGTTGAGGTTTAAATGTTGAGATTGCCTATTAAGGCTTAAATATTGAGGTTTAAAGGTTAATGCTTGATTGTCGGATATTGAGGTTAATGTGATTGCATGTTTTCATTGAGACTAGACCTACTAGCCTAGTGGCTATAGTAAGGCGACCGATCCAAGAAGGAAAAGTAAGACTTAAGAGCTATGATGTACCGAGTTAACATTTTTCGAGTGAGTCCAAATGAGAAAAAGAATTTTAAAGACATTCATGTAATGAAAAGTTTTAATGTAAAATCATGGATGTTGTACTTATTGAAATATTCGTATCTCAAGCTTGTTTTGTGGTGTAGGTACCAATGCAAACATTAAAAATTTTAATGTTGCTTCTAGTGACCAATGACTCATGTTCTTGCCAATGAATGTCTCTAAAAAATATTGAATGGGTTATGTTTTAATGAATGGATGTATAAGTGTATGTATGATTAAAATTTATGAATGCTTTTATGTATATTAGTTGGAAGAATGTAAAGTTTCTTAATGTTGATAATTATTATTTAGTAACTAAAGATGATCAATAAGTAGAGTTTATTTATAAATGTTTGAACGATGATGAAGGAGTTTTTAGAATTTCATGATGCATTGTGGTAATGAGGTCAAGATAGAGTCTATATGAAATTTTAACTAAATGCTTCCACTATGTTAATGAAATGATTATATAGTTATATTATCATTGATAGGTTTTGATTGATATGTTTAATGATGAATGATATTAAGTTAGGAACAATTTTTAAGTGTAATAAAAGAATACAAGTTTTAATAACGATCCTTGAGGTAAGACATCTCGGACGACGGGAGTTACACACTTATTGAAGTTCCAAATTCTTGCATAGGCTAAGACCATCTCTAATAGCCAATAACTCCCTCCTCATATTTGTGCCTGGGCTATACAACTGTGAAAATCATGCCACAAATTTCCCACGATGATCTCTGATAATCCCCTCGTCTGAATAAAAGCCATCCACCAAAGATCCATCTATGTTCGGTTTATAGCCATTAGGATTAGGGAGATGCCATTTTAGCCAAGTTCGCCATCTGACCTGAATGTTAATGATTGACAAACTAAGCATTGACAGCCTATTGAAGCTGATAATGGAAGAACAACTTTTTGGATGAAGAACTACACATATGTCTATTAACCTGCCTCTAACCAGAGTTATCATCGCGGCTGCAGTCATAGGGATATCTTCGTACCTTGCTTTGCATATGCTCTTCCATATTTCCCATAATAATAATAAAAGCGGGTGCAACCTGAATTATGCCGACTTGAGTTTGAGTAGTGCATATCCATGTTTGTAGAAGATAAGTATCAGATGTGTACCAAGTTGTTTTAGCAAATTTGTTTCCAAAAAATTCCGCACCTGGCTTGCAATCTCCGAATATAAGAAGAGATGATCAATAGATTTGCTATGCGGCTGATGACAGTAATGGCATTTAGACGATATAGGAATTTTTATGTCCTCCAAATAAAGCCACCAATTCGACTTGGAATCTATGGAGCTCAAACCTTCTTGTGCCAATTCAGCTGTAGATTTCTCGGCCTTCTACAGTTCCAGTACGCCTTGGTTTCAAAATGGCCTGAGGTAGTAAGGAATACAATACAACGTTTTAAATTTCTTATAGAGTCCTTGTAAAAGTAAACTAACTATTCTAAATTACATATTAAGATGTCTACAATATTCAAAGCTCCTTTCTAAAATAGTTGCATGGGGCACAACAATTGGCGAGTATTTATAAATTTTTTATATGTGTGAGTAGTCTTCACTCACCTAATACAAATATACATTATCTAACGATTATGTATATAATATTTTCTTTTAGTAAAGTAGGTTGGAGTTTTATTTAGTTACTATTATATAATGAAAAAAAACTACCTCGTTATATAACCCAAGATCCGATGGGCATCCCAAAAATAATAAAATAAAATAAAATAAAATAAACAAAAATTCCTCACTCACCTATTGCATAGGTTTTAAAGTTTTGTTATGAGAAGTATTAGTACTTATAAATGTCCTTTACGCGTGACTAGTCCTCAATCACCCATAACTGCATAGGTTTTACTGATACAATCAATGACATTTTTACTAACATAATCAAATGCATCGTTAGTTAAAAACTCTAGTCAAAAGCGTGATTCAGCCTGTAATATAAATTTCAATTTTCTTGGCTGGGTAAAAACAGTCTGTGTTTCGGCTTACCTCTTTGCAATGGTTACCTAGAATCGGCCCATAAGGTGATAAGGATGGGTCTCAGGTAATTAAATAAATAAAATCACATAGAAAAAGAAAAAGAAAAAGCATTTGACATTGAAGAACAAACATAACCGGTAGTTATAAAACTCAAACCTTATTATTTAAGAAATTGTAGTGCAAGATTACATCATAAAATGCCTCTTAACCTATGTATGCCTTCCAATCTACATGGTCAACGAAGGATATAAATGACAGTGTACCAGATGCAAAATAGATACTCTATCCAACTTATTTATTAGTTATCATTTTAAAATATTGTAATGGATAATGGGCTAAATATAGATAAAATAGTATTATTCATTTATGTTAATTGATAATTTATTTATAAATATGAGTATCTTTCTTTTTCTTTTTACCAATTTTTTTACCCATTAACATAAAAAAAAAAACTAAAATATAAAATTTTAAAATAAACAAAAGAAATGATAGTTAATATTTTCTGATATATATATCTTAACTGTCCCAGAAATTGAAATCATGAATAGTTTCAATCACTTTTAGATTGAACAGGAGTACAATTTAATTGGAAGAATTTAAAAACCTTGTAATTTTACGTTGTTTTTTACTCTTTTTTCGGTTGTAATATTGTGATGTTTTAAAAGAGAAATGAAGCTATTATATATCCGAAAATACATAAAATTGTTTGAAGGGACTGAGTTGCTAATATTACTGTAGCATATGTAAAACTAAGAAGCACAAATTTGGAATAAATTATAAATTAGTCCCTCTAGTTTTACAAAACTGAATTGAATACTTTATCTTGTTTTAAAAACTAGTCAATTATTTTTTTAACTGGTGATCAACATAATTAATTTAATATTATATTATTTTAAAAATAGTTTATTTTTCATCGATCTTTTCATATTATTTTTTTATTATTTTTTTTATTTCACAAAACAAAAAAAAAATTATATAGAAAAATCTTACTATATAAAAAGAGTGTAGACAAAAAGAGTTTGTAACAAAAAAAAAAAAAAAAATCAGTAAAAAAAAATTGAAAAAAAAAATCTTCAATTTAAGAAAAAAAAATTAGCGGGTAAATGGGCATAGACATGATATGAGCAGAGTATAATATAATTGATATGAACTGGATAAAGAAATGAACAAGTAATTCTTAGTGGGTTAATAAATATGATAATGAGCATAATATTTTTTAGTTGGTAGAGTATAAAATTGACTTAATAGATTGAGTACCTGGCCATCGCAAGACCTCATAGTGATCCAGACATTTTAACAATTCAAGCTCATTATTTTCATTCACGGCTCCACAATGATCTTCCCAGTGGCATGGCCATCGATACCCTTAGCCCAAGCATCTTCAGACTTGCTTAATGGATGCTTTGAGTCGATCACTGTTTTAAGCGTCCCTTCCTTCAGCATATTAACAAGATAATTCAGGTTCTCACCGTTGGGATTCATAAACAGCGGCGCCAGCTGCTTCTTGGAGAAAGTAAGTTTCTAATCACAGCAAAATTAATCATTGCACTGGGGCCAGGAGCGAGATATATAACCTTCCCATTTTCACTCAGATTTGGCTTACTTCCAAGGAATGCCTGTTGTGCAGTGGATCACAGCATAATATTTCTTACCAGATGGGCTCTTCAGAGTTGCTCCTTCTGGGGTTTTGTAATCCAGAACCTTATCAGCCCCTAAGTCCTTCACAAATTCAATGTTACGAGGCCCACAAGTGGCAGTCACATAAGTGTTTTCGAGCTTTGCTAGCTGAACTGCATACTGACCCACGGCACCTGAGGCAGCATTGATCAGAATATTTTTCCGGTTGCCACTTCCATCAAGCTTGACCCCAGCATATTGAGTGAGAGCCTGGTGAGCTGTGAGCCCAGCAACAGGTAAGCCTGCACCTTCAGCTGCTGAAACTTCAAGTGGTCTTGCAACTGACAAGCTCTTCTTAGCCACTAAATATTCAGCTAGTCCACCTCCACTCTGTTATTAGTACTAAACAGTTTATCAAATAAACAGAATGAAACAAAATTCAGAGACCAATGGTAAAATTCCCTCACACATAAGATTGCCAAATGCTAAAATGCACTATTCATATTGTGTGGAACCAAGGTAACAACATGTGCCAAGTCCCATGTCTATGCTCCTACGTAACACTTAATGGTATACAAGATCCAGGAGAAGGCATCTAAGCAAAATAATCTGTATAATGCGCCTCAAGTTGGCAATTTTGCAAACTAGTAAAAAACTTCATAAACATAAAAAAACTCTGACCTATTTGCTTTAGCCAAAAAGGGCAGTTACAATTAAGTCATTAAGGTATTGGGTTATGTGTTTGATTGAAGCTGAGCAAATGTCCAAAATACAGTTATCTGATTTTACTTTGGAGGAAACTAAGTTTCATATGGAGGAAAGAAACAACAGGTAGTCCTTGATGATAATTGTATTTAACTGGTCACTTTGAAGGAAGACATTGAGGGCATGAAGGTTGGTTGCAAATACGACACACAAATTTAGCTAAATCATGCACACACTTGTTACTATTCATGCCTTTGTCAATCCCTGGAAACACTTTTCTACTTGTGCTTAATCTATTATGATTAATCTCCCAATTTTATTATATCACTATTCTAACCTTCCCCACCCGCCTTCCAATGTTGATTTTGTAACTTATAACCAGCTATCAATGACGCTTAACCTTCAGGTCGTGTTGATGCAAGGTAGCTTATTTGACATGGCATCATTCAATGCGTAAGTGAGGGGAAGGTTGCCTCCAATTGTGTACATAGCCATTAAACCAAAAAAGATAATCTCAAGGCCGTGCCTCACCACGTAAATCATTTGAAACACTACGAAGGCAAGGAAATAAAAAACTCCAAAACAATGAATGAGCACTTATAGATTGGCTAAGAAAAGCCACAACTTTGTCAACAGTTTTGAAATTTTCGACTCCTAGTCCAACCGCTACAACCTCTCCTGCTACATCAGTGCCTGTTGCGACAAAGGTTTTCTCAGCCAAAGAACAAATGTGAGTGAATGCATGCTTGGCAAACACAGAGTATTGCTAAAACTATGAAATTATTATATCAGCATAAGATTCAAGTAATGTTAACCACATGGATCACAAGCTATCTTTGGGAAGGGCTTACACGGAGTCTAGGCCAAAGATCCTCGTTGGCGTCGAAAATATAAGTCAATTAGGCTAAAGAATAATTACAATATAAGTACATCAATTTTTTACTTTTTTCTCAATCAGCTACATGAGTTTTAATTCTTTTTATTTGAATATATCATTTTTTTTTAAAAAAATTATTAATCAAGTACTTCTACTAATTTTTTCATTAACTAATAATGTATTTGGTACTATTAAAATACTAAATTATAATTTTATCATTTTTCTCACTTGAGTACATGATTTTTAATTTTTTTTTCGTTTGAGTACATCAACTTTTTCAAAACTCGTCAATCAAATATTATCATCACTTTCTTCGTTAATTGATAACGTATTCGAATATGAAATTATATTTTTACCCCTTTTTTGTTGAAAGAAACTTTCTCCTTAAATTATTTTACTATTTTATAATTTGATAAATAATTAAAAAATTTATTTTTTATCTCTAAAATTTCAAACTAAACTCAATTAGGTTGTTGTTAAAAAAAGAACTCGGTTAGGTTTAAAAGTGAAAATTGATGAACAACATAAATGAATCTTCTCGATGAAAAATCTCACGTTTGTGTTTCCTTCAATTTTCATGGCCAAAATCCAACTAATTTTTTTTAATAACAAGCCTTACTAAGTTTAGTTTGAGATTTTATAATTGAAACTATTTTTTTTAATTCTTTGTTAAATTTTAAAATAATAGAATAATTTGAGGAGAAAGTTCCTTACTACAAAAGATGAATATATATATATATATATATATATATATAATTTGGTATTCCAACATGCCATCAATTAATGAAGAAATTAACGAAAGTACTTGATTCACGAGTTTTGAACATGTTGGTGTACTTAATCCGAAAAAATTAAAGTTCATGTACTCCATTGAGGAAAATAAGATAAAATTGTAATTTGGTATTTTGAGGATGATGGATACATCATCGATGAAAAATTGACAAAAATACTTGATTGATAGTTTTAAAAAAGTTGATGTACTAAAAAAAATAATTAAAGTTTATATACTTGTTTGAGGAAATATTGAAAATTGATATACTTAAATTGTATTTATCTCAATTCATTTTCATCGAGGTCGAATTTTACCATTATTAGGATAAGGTTATCCTTAACGTTATCGTTAAACATTATTCTTAATATTAGCTTATGTTAGGATATTTGCGTTTTTGAAGATTTGATTATAACAATTACTCTAGTAGAATTATATTTCTTTAATTGAGTTATATAAGGATAGAAGTAAAGAGTTATAAGGTGCTTGTTTGGTAATTAGGAATAAAGTGATGGGAATGGGAATGCGGGAATCAAAATGAAAATTAAGGAATCGAATGGTATTTATATTCTAATACCGTGTTTGGAATACTAATAAGGAATCGAAATGCAATTTAAATTTTTTAATCTATGATTTTGTATATAAATATAAATAATGATTAAAAAATAATTTTATTAAACTATAATAGTTATAAAAATAATAAAGGTGATGGTAGTGATTGTGGTGGTTCTAGTAGTGGTGATGGTAGTGATTGTGGTGGTTCTAGTAGTGGTGATGGTGGTGGTGGTAATGATTGCGGTATTGATGATGATTGTGATTGTGATAATGAGGATTGTGGTGGTGGTGGTGGTTGTGATGATGTTAGTAGTGGTAGTGGTTGTGGTGGTGGTGGTTATGATGGTGGTTGCGGTGACGGTGGTGGTGGTTGTAGTTATGATGGTAGTGGTGGTGGTTGTGATGGTGATGGTGATGAAGATAGTGGTGGTGGTGGTGGTTGTGGTTATGGTGGTGGTGGTGGTTGTGATAGTGGTGGTGATGAAGATAGTGGTGGTGGTGGTGGTGATGAAGGTAGTGGTGGTGGTGGTTGTGGTTGTGATAGTGGTGGTAATGGTGATTGTGATGGTGGTGATGATGAAGATAGTGGTGGTGGTGTTTATGGTTGTGATAGTGGTGATGGTGGTAGTCGGTGATGATGGTAAAAGTAGTTAATAGATAATAAATGAATAAAATATATTATTATTTTGAAAAAAATTCATTCCCATTCCTTGTTTTTTATTTCCACATTTTATGTGGGAATGAAGTTGTGTGTAAATTTTCATTCCCATTTCCACTTCATTCCTTTTAACCAAACAGCTATAATATGGGAATAATACTTCCATTTCCATTCCTATTATTCTATTCTTGATTATCAAACAGACATCTAAAGGTAAGTAAAACTAGAGTTTTGTAGTCTTATGAGACATTTTTTTTTTTTTGGTCTTATCCTTATCTTGTGTAAGCCAAATTTTACAAGGAGAAATTACCTTTGTATGACCAAACCTAGACTAGTATAAGTAAGGGCTTAATGCTTTTAGAGAGATATAATTTTCATTCTTTGAATTAATAAAATAATTAAAAAGTTTCTCTTAAAACTCTTGAATCCTTATGCATTGCTTGTGGTTTGTGCCTTTACATCCTTGAATTGATTAACCAAAGTAGGTTATTTGATCACAATCTAACCTAAAGGTATAGTGGGATTATTAATCTCTCGCCAAAATCATTTTTTTATGGTATTGTACTCGTTGAGATATGATTCGATAGGTCATTTTAAGAGATCTAACATTTATTTCATAATGCAATACATCTTTATGACCATAGGCTAATACGTATGGAGTATTACTAATTGCCTCCTTAAGTGTTGTTCTATAAGCCTATAAAACATGTGTTAATAACACATGCCAATATCTAGAGTTATCATTGATCATCTTTTGTAGGTTTAACTTAATTACCTTGTTGGTGGATTTTTCTTGACCATTGGTTTGGGCATACTATGGTGTAAAGTTTATAATGGTAAATCTCATTTCTCTTGCAAACTCTAGTATTTACGTGCCATTGAATACCGTGGCTTGGTCGACGATTATGGATTCTAGGATTCAAACCTTGCAATTGTTTTTCATTTTAATAATTGAATTTCCACATCTTGTGTTATAGCTCTAAAAGGTTTGGCTTCAACAATTTAGTGAAGTAATCTGTAGACATTAAGATATATGAATGTTGCTTATTTGAATGTGGGTGTATCTCTCCGGTTATGTATGTTTTCCATTCCTTGAAAGGTTATGGTTTGATCACATAGTGTAACTTTGCAATAAGGACTCTAGGAAAATTTTCATTTTTTGTAGGGTTTGCATACTTTAGCCAAAACTTGACAATCTCGTTTCATTTTTGGCTAATAAAATCCTCTTATTTCAATGATTTTCATTGTAAAGACAATGTATTGGCTCTAGCAACAACATCTACTAAAACGTCTATTACATGCATTGGATTTTCATGTTTTAGGGTGACTTTATTTAGTCCCTAAAGTTACTGCATACTTTAGTTTTGTCATTTTTTTTTAACAATTAGAACTATGTTGGACATTTATGCACCTTGCAGGCATGAATGAATCCTACCTTGAATAGCCTCTATATCTCATTTTTAACACTTTGCAAGATATCCGATGTTATTGTCTTAGTCGGCTAAAAATTCAAACCATGATTCAACCGGGATTGTTGACTTTACTAGCTCTATATCTAGACTTAACATGTCCTTATAATCCTATGCAAAATAATGTCTTTGAACTATTTTAGCAAGCACTTTTATCTTCGGGTTTTAAGTAGGCACTAACATTAGTGATCTTTTTCTCACCTTGACCACCTAGGTTAACTTTTTTTTAAGAGGCATAGCTTTTCTATATGGCTTCTCTTTAGGTTTTTTTATCTATAATCGTATTGGTTCTATTGTTATTGATTGATTGTTTATTGTTGTCCAATTTAAATAGTGTTTTAGCATGAATTTTATTTCAACTAAATACTTTGTAAGCCCCAAGATGGTGACTTGGGCCTCCTTCTTTTTAGAGCTAGCTATGTTGTGCTCATTATTTATAAGAAAATACTTAAATTTGACTTGTAAGATCCTCTTAATACGAATGCATTTCTTGGCTTTTGATGATTTCTACTCTAATTCCTTGATCTTCACAACTCGATTTAGGTTGAATTTAAAGGATCATGCATCCTATGGAGGTATAGAATAAATAAAATTTTTCCACCATCTAAGGCCCCAAGATCAAGCCGTTGAATCTACTAACCATACATATATGAATAATAAGCTATAAGTTAGATGATTACTTCTTGTAGCACATATCTAAATTCCCTTTCGATAAAGTCGTTCAAGTGTTTGGCCTTTATTGATGATCAATGTAGTCCAAGTATCCACAAAGAAGCACTAAAAATTAATAGGGTGCTAGCTCCATCTTTTCCGATTTTGTATTTCCTCTAGAAATCAATCTCGATAATTTTGTGATAACCTTAAAAAGAGGAAAAGAATATTTTTTGCTAGGGTTTAGGAGAAAACTACTTTCTCCTTTATTTTCTCTCTTGGTCGTATGCCCTAGGTAATTTTTGGGCTACCTGAATTTTCTTTTCCCTTTTTTCTTTATGTTGGTCGAATATCCTCTCTCGCATTAGCCTTTATGCTGCACCTTTCCTCCTATATATAGGAGAAAAGTTTCCTTATCCTCCAAGGATAAGGAGAGGGGCTGCTATAAGTCCATAAAGAACTCTAGGTTATTGCTTCCTTATTCTCCTAGGATGAGGAGTTATTTTATATGTGGACTATTTGATTATTATCTTTAAAATATTCAACCTTATCCAATAAGATTGA